ATTAGCCCACCCAACTACCTCATCCCCATATTGTTATTTATTTTGCTAATTTGCACCCCAGTATCTCATCAGCTCATCAGCTAGTCCATGCAACTTATTATGTTACTTGTTATTATGTGACTTGTTAACTCCTGAACATATTTAGGATTGCCATAACAAAGGGGTTGAATACTTATTGACTCCAGACATTTCAGCTTTTCATTTTTAATTCATTTGTAAAAATTTCTACAAACATAATTCCACTTGGACATTTTGGCTTATTGTGTGTAGGCCAGTGACATAAAATCTCAATTTAATCAATTTTAAATTCAGGCTGTAACACAAAGGTGATCATATTACTTATGTAATCAAGATCCATTAATGTTTTATTTGTCATTAATATTTTACAAAAGTAAATCTTCCACTTTGACATTAGTATTTTGTGTAGATCGTTGATAAAAAATGACAATGAAATCCATTTTAATCCCACTTTCACACAACAAAATATGGAACAAGTCAAGGGGTGTGAGTACTTTATGAAGGCACTGTACATACCATACATAGGTACTAGTAATGGGAAGCCTTTTAGTCTTCACCCAGTAGCTCAGATTGTCACTGGTAATTTCCCCTTGCTTGGCTTTTAATTTGTTCCCATTCTGACTCTGTGTATTAGGCTGTTTGGTATGTATGTAATGTATGTATGTAATGTATGTATGTATGTATGTATGTATGTATGTATGTATGTATGTATGTATGTATGTATGTATGTATGTATGTATGTATGTATGTATGTATGTATGTATGTATGTATGTATGTATGTATGTATGTATGTATGTATGTATGTATGTAGTATGTATGTATGTATGTATGTATGTATGTATGTATGTATGTATGTATGTATGTATGTATGTATGTATGTATGTATGTATGTATGTATGTATGTATGTATGTATGTATGTATGTATGTATGTATGTATGTATGTATGTATGTATGTATGTATGTATGTATGTATGTATGTATGTATGTATGTATGTATGTATGTATGTATGTATGTATGTATGTATGTATGTATGTATGTATGTATGTATGTATGTATGTATGTATGTATGTATGTATGTATGTATGTATGTATGTAATTGAAGTTGTAAAAGCCAATTATAAAAGCCAATTATTGTTATTATATGCCTTATAATATTTTGTTATTCCAGTTAATTTTTTATGACAATATCCTTGATGAATGTTGTATAAAATGTTATGGTTATAATAGCGTGATGTAACTTGCACTTTTTGTCAGGTTTGAATGAGACCATATATTCTAACCTTATTCTTTCAATAAAGTTATTGGTTTATTCATATTATATTACTTGTTTGTCTTTCCTTATCAAATGTAAGACTAAATGCCATTTGTAATATGTTTTGGTGTATGTGTTTAATATACTATCCAGATAAAGTGTCTGATCACAGAACATTCCATAGAATTGTAGAGAAATACCACCAGTCACTAAAACGTCTGTAATTCCTTCACAGTAAAAGGTATTGCTTTTCTGATTTCAGATCATCAAACCTTAGAAAATAAGGGCGAATCAATATGCACCATCTTCATTAGGAAGTGTTTTTTTTCTTGACTGATTACAATTTGATGTAGTGCTATTGCATGTCATATCATTTGAAAGGGCTGTTTCTCAGCTTTCAAAATATGGGGTTGGGCTGAGGTCGGGCTGCCCAGATAGCATGAAGCCATGATATAAAATACAAATATTACAAGAAATTTGCTTTAAAACTGTTATTTTCTCTCCGCCTCATGGCAAAATGTGTAGAATAGTAGGAAATTAGCTCAGGGATTCTTGAAAATCGGGACAATCCTTGTCCTGCAGGGAAATGTTATTTTTATTGTATACATTCTATTTTTCATTATTTCAGTTTAAAATGTACATTTGAGGGGAATTTTATAAGAGAAGATTTGTTTTAGAAATGTTCTGAATACTTTCAATATTATTAATTTCCATGTCAGCTCTATGCCTGGAAATGCCCTTGTCCGGAGCAAAAGATCCCAATTTCAAACTCAACAAAAAACGTGTTTAAAATTCAAATAACCGGCAAAAAGTAGATATTCACTGAAAAATGATCAGATGTCGTTTTTTGCAAGGCTCCGTGGAAAAAGGCTCTGTGACTTTAAAGAATATTTATTTAAACATTTTGATTCCTAAAAGATGTGTCCGGAGATTTGCTTTACTCCGTCAGATTAGTCTAAAATCCTAAATTAATTAGGAATGAGCAGGGTTAGCTATACCATGTAGTGCAACAAGACCACTCGTGGTCTGTAAAGTTCTCTACTTTTGATAGATTGAACGAACAATATTGGAATCACCATGGTCAAAACCATAAACTGTCAACTCCATCTGCCTGATAGATAAACATTTAGTTAGAATTTTGGTTCAAATATTTTTATTTTAATCAGGTTTTAGTTATAAAGCAACTGAGGAAAAACTTTGCTGAGCAAAATTTTTTATAAATATTTTACTGAACAAAAATATAAAAGCAACATGTAAAGTGTTGGTCCCATGTTTTATGAGGTGAAATAAAAGATCCCCAGAACAGCCTCAATTAATCTGTGCATCGACTCTACAAGGTGTAAAGTGTTCCACAGGGATGCTGGCCCATGTTGATTCTAGTGCTTCTCACAGTTGTGTCAAGTTGGCTGGATGTCCTTTGGGTGGTGGACCATTCTTAATACATAAAGGAAACTGTTAAGCATGAAAAACCCAGCACCATTACAGTTCTTGACACACTCAAACTGGTGCACCTGGCACCTACTATCATACCCCGTTCAAAGACACTTAAATCTTTTGTCTTGCTCATTCACCCTCTGAATGGCACACATACACAATCCATGTCTCAATTGTCTCGATACTTAAAAATCCTTCTTTAACCTTTCTCCTCCCCTTCATCTACACTGATTTTGAAGTGGATTTAACAAGTGACATCAATGAAAGATCATAGCATTCACCTGGTCAGTCTGTCATGGAAAGAGCAGGTGATCCTAATGTTTGATACATTCAGTGTATATTTCACATGTTAATATTAAGACAAATATTTGAGATTGTCCCGTCTTTCAAGAATCCCTGAGCTTTAAAACAATATTTTCTCTCAGCCTCATGGCCAAATGTGTAAAATAACATGATTAGTTATAAAACTATTTTTTTTTTCTTCAAAAATGTCAATTTCAAGTTAAAACCAAGTGTTTCCATTACCCTTTAAATCTTGTTTTGAAGCTAAACAGTATTTGTTTACAATTACATTGTTTACAAACAATGGAGTAAAACAAGCTTATATTTTGGGTTCTGATGGGGTATGACAGTTGAACTAAGTTCATGAGGCATTTCTAAGTTATATTCTTCAAAATAAATGGGTATACAGTTGAAGTCGGAAGTTTACATACACTTTAGGTTGGAGTCTTTCAACCACTCCACACATTTCTTGTTAACAAACTATAGAAAAATGTAAGTCGATTTGGACATCTACTTTGTGCATGACACAAGTAATTTTTCCAACAATTGTTTACAGACAGATTATTTCATTTATAATTCACTGTATCACAATTCCAGTTGGTCAGAAGTTTACATACACTAAGTTGACTGTGCCTTTAAACAGCTTGGAAAATTCCAGAAAATTATGTAATGGCTTTAGAAGCTTCTGATAGGCTAATTGACATCATTTGAGTCAATTGGAGGTGTACCTGTGGATGTATTTCAAGGCCTACCTTTAAACTCAGTGCCTCTTTGCTTGACATCATGGGAAAATCAAAAGAAATCAGCCAAGACCTCAGAAATGAAATTGTAGACCTCCACAAGTCTGGTTCATCATTGGGAGCAATTTCCAAATGCCTGAAGGTACCACGTTCATCTGTACAAACAATAGTACGCAAGTATAAACTCCATGGGACAACGCAGCCTTCATACCGCTCAGGAAGGAGACACATTCTGTCTCCTAGAGATGAACGTACTTTGGTGCGAAAAGTGCAAATCAATCCCAGAACAACAACCCAACCGTGAAGCACGGGGGTGGCAGCATCATGCTGTGGGGGTGCTTTGCTGCAGGAGGGACTGGTGCACTTCACAAAATAGATGGCATCATGAGGAAGGATAGATTGAAGCAACATCTCAAGACATCAGTGAGGAAGTTAAAGCTTGGTCGCAAATGGGTCTTCCAAATGGGCAATGACCCCAAGCATACTTCCATAGTTGTGGCAAAATGGCTTAAGGACAACAAAGTCAAGGTATTGGAGTGGCCATCACAAAGCCCTGACCTCAACGCTATAGAAAATGTGTGGGCAGAACTGAAAAAGCGTGTGCGAGCAAGGAGGCCTACAAACCTTACTCAGTTACACCAGCTCTGTCAGGAGGAATGGGCCAAAATTCACCCAACTTATTGTGGGAAGCTTGTAGAAGGCTACCCAAAACGTTTGACCCAAGTTAAACAATTTAAAGGCAATTCTACCAAATACTAATTGAGTGTATGTAAACTTCTGGCCCACTGGGAATGTGATTAAATAAATAAAAGCTTAAATAAATAATTCTCTACTATTATTCTGACATTTCACATTCTTAAAATAAAGTGGTGATCCTAACTGACCTAAGACAGGGAATTTTACTAGGATTAAATGTCAGGAATTGTGAAAAACTTAGTTTAAATGTATTTGGTGTATGTAAACTTCCGACTTCAACTGTATATCATAGCAGAAGGTTGGCTTCCCAAAGTGAAATCCACGGCCCAAGTAGGACTTAGGAAGTTTACTTGTTTACGTATTGAATAGATGTGTAGCTCTTCATAGTCTCCGCAGAATTTGATGATTGTGATTCATGGTCATGTTATAGCTCCATAATGCTGCTTATTGATACTTCCTGCCAAGTTAGTTCCTCTTGATGCTAGCCTGGTTTACAGTACCTGTGTTAAATGCTGAAGGTTAGCCCACTGCTTTCTCTCATTGATCATGATTGTTGACTATCTTGGACCTGTCAGGACACAGCAGGACAGGAGAGGTTCAGGACCCTGACGCCCAGCTACTACCGTGGTGCACAGGGAATCATACTGGGTGAGTGTTTTGTTTATCTCACGGCCAATGGGGGTCTACATCAACTCTCTGGCCGTATGTACCAAGCCTCTCAAAGTAGGAGTGCTGATCTAGGATCAGGTTCCTCCTGTCCATAGAATCTTATTCATGGTGATCTAAATGACAAAACCGATCATCGTAGATCCAGCACTCCTACTCGAAATGAGTTGCCAAATAAGTCAACATGGCCTCAGTTGGAAATTGTACTCCATACAAGCCACATTCTCAAATCTGGACCTCTAGTACTGTGGACCGCCATACTTTGATTCGAGTACCCCCCTGCTATAACACATCTTAGTTGTAGATATGGATGAGGTACAGATACACAGTTAACCTCCTCTATTTTGATGTTAGTGTACGATGTCACTAAACGGGTCACGTTCACGAAGCTGGAGAACTGGCTGAACGAACTGGAGACATACTGCACACGGAACGACCTCGTCAAAATGCTGGTCGGGAACAAGATTGATAAGGAGGTGGGTGTCCCAGTGCATCATGTATCAAGATACTTTGTGAAGAGGTTTTCGGAAGATGATCACATCATTCAGTAATGTTTTGTGTTGCTCAAATTATAGCTGATGGTATTAAACGTTCCACATACTAAGATAATAGATGGTTTTATTCTGTTGTCAGACAGGCTAACACCTGTTATGTGAACCCATTGTTGTTAAATTTGACAATTCTGTTTTTGTTTCAGGAAAACCGTGAAGTTGACAGAAACGAAGGCCTTAAATTCGCAAGGAAACACTCCATGCTTTTTATTGGTAAGTTCTTCATCTTAGTGATATAGCTGGGCATCTATGAGTAAAGGAACCAGGATACTGAAATTTCAAACAAAGTGATCCAGGGACTATGTTAAAGGCCTACTTCTTCAGTAAAAATATATACAGTGCATTCGGAAAGTATTCAGACCCCTTCCCCTTTTCCACATTTTGTTACGTTACAGCATTATTTAAAACATTTTTTAGAAAAATCCTCATCAATCTACACACAATACCCCATAATTACGAAGTGAAAATAGGTTTTTATACATTTTTGCAAATGTATTAAAAAAAAAGAAACAGATGCCTTATTTACATAAGTATTCAGACCCTTTGCTATGAGACTTGAAATTGCGCTCAGGTGCATCCTGTTTCCATTGATCATCCTTGAGATGTTTCTACAACTTGATTGGAGTCCACCTGTGGTAAATTCAATTGATTGGACAAGATTTGGAAAGGCACACACCTGTCTATATAAGGTCCCACAGTTGACAGTGCATGTCAGAGCAAAAACCAAGTCATGAGGTCGAAGGAATTGTCCGTAGAGCTCCGAGACAGGATTGTGTCAAGGCACAGATCTGGGGAAGGGTACCAAAAAAATTCTGCAGCATTGAAGGTCCCCAAGAACACAGTGGCCTCCATCATTCTTAAATGGAAGAAGTTTGGAACCAACAAACTCTTCCAAGAGCTGGCCGCCCGGCCAAACTGAGCAATCGGGGGAGAAGGGCCTTGGTCAGGCAGGTGACCAAGAACCCGATGGCCACTCTGACAGAGCTCCAGTTCCTCTGTGGCGATGGGAGAACCTTCCAGAAGGACAACCATCTCTGCAGCACTCCACCAATCAGGCCTTTATGGTAGAGTGGCAAGACGGAAGGCACTCCACAGTAAAAGGCACATTACAGCCCGCTTGGAGTTTGCCAAAAGGCACCTAAAGGACTCTGATCATGAGAAACAAGATTCTCTGGTCTGATGAAACCAAGATTGAACTCTTTGGCCTGAATGCCAAGTGTCACGTCTGGAGGAAACCTGGCCCTATCCCTACGGTGAACCATGGTGGTGGCAGCATCATGCTGTGGGGATGTTTTTCAGCGGCAGGGACTGGGAGACTAGTCAGGATTGAGGGAAAGATCAACGGAGCAAATTACAGATAGATCCTTGATGAAAACCTGCTCCAGAGCGCTCAGGACCTCAGACTGGGGCGAAGGGTCACCTTCCAACAGGACAACGACCCTAAGCACACAGCCAAAACAACGCAGGAGTGGCTTCGGGACAAGTCTCTGAATATCCTTGAGTGGCCCAGCTAGAGCCCGGACTTGAACTCGATCGAACATCTCTGGAGAGACGTGAAAATAGCTGTGCAGCGACGCTCCCCCTCCAACCTGTCAGAGCTTGAGAGGATCTGCAGAGAAGAATGGGAGAAACTCCACAAAATACAGGTGTGCCAAGCTTGTAGTGTCATACCCAAGAAGACTTGTGGCTGTAATCACTGCTAAAGGTGCTTCACAAAGTACTGAGTAAAGGGTCTGAATACTTATGTAAATGTGATATTTCTGGTTTTTATATTTTTTGCTTTGTCATTATGGGGTATTGTGTGTAAATTGAGGGGGAAAAAACAATTTAATCCATTTTAGAATAAGGCTGTAACATAACAAAATGTGGAGAAAGTCAAGGGGTCTGAATACTTTCCAAATGCATTGTACATAAAGATTTTAATTTAATCAAGAAACAGTAAGACTTTCTGCAGACGGGCATACATCAGTGTGCAGACTCATTCATTTTTGCACAGATGCCACCCTGTTACTCTACTTTGACTTTTGTAATCTCCACTGTCAGAACCCCACTAAAGGATGCAGCCCTTCCAGGAGAATTGCATTACGATCGCAAATCTGTGGTCGATCAACTATCAATCCCATGTCTACATTCATTTATATTTCCTAGCTCTGGTCACCTCCTTTTTTGGAATTAGGTTATAACATTTCTGAAGAATGACTAAATTAAGGGTTTTGGAAAAAGGTGTATGGAAAAGAGGCCTTTCTTAGATGTGCCGTGTAGGCTACACATATTTTCTGAACGCTGAATGTGTATGGCTTACGTTGGCCTGCATTTTTGTCTACACAACTCAATCTAAATTACCCATATCAAGATCAACATTCTCAGAAAACCAACAGACTAAAAAAATATCCCTTTAGACATCACTCTGGGAGAAAAAAATCCATCCCAGTCCGATGTCATTATGCTTGTCATGCAAAGATCTTGTTGCGTCAATATCTCGGTGATGTGCGTTCATAAATATTTCTCAAAAATGAAAAAAAAATGAAATAATGCATTTTTGCTCCCATTTATTTGAAACAAACCAGAAATTGTTTAGTGAGTTTGTGTTGGTGCATCCCCTTACATTGATACCATACTAATGTGCCCTCCCACCCTGGCAGAGGCCAGTGCTAAAACGCGGGACGGTGTCCAGTGTGCCTTCGAGGAGCTGGTGGAGAAGATCCTCCAGACCCCAGGGCTTTGGGAAAGCGACACCCAGCCTCGGGGTGTCCAAATGGGGGACCAGCAGCAGCGCAGGCTGGGGGGCTGTGGAGGATACTGCTCCATTCCATAAACCAGAACTGACCCAAAACCCAAACGGCATACTGGAAACCAGAAACTGAGGATATCAATTTTTTTTTTTTTTTTTTTAAGAGGATAATACTGTGTGTTCTGGTGCCATCTGCACCTTCGGTCTTGGTCAAAAGGACTTACACACTTCCTGTACCATTAGTCAGTTATCACAGTGCATTATGGCATGTTCAAAGTATGGTTGGTATTAATCACGTATAAAAGATAATGGTAAGGAAGTCCTCTGTAGCTCAGCTGGTAGAGCACGGCGCTTGTAACGCCAAGGTAGTGGGTTCGATCCCCGGGACCACCCATACACAAAAAAAAAATGTATGCACGCACGACTGTAAGTCGCTTTGGATAAAAGCGTCTGCTAAATGGCATATTATTATTATTATTATTATTATTATTAACTATCATGGGTTGTTAACCACACCAACTCACATGTACGTCTTGTTGAACACATGGTGAAATGTTGAATTTCCTCTCTACAATATAATATTGAATGTTTTCTACATGTTTATGCAATACAGTATGTTACATACATCAAGTTAAAATATAATCACTGCATCATGTCAAATACCTACCAAGTTATACCAAAAATAGCTTTGCTATTTACAGTTGATGTCGGAAGTTTAAGTACACTTCGGTTGGAGTCATTAAAATTCGTTTTTCAACCACAATTTCTTGTTAACAAATTATAGTTTTGGCAAGTCGGTTAGGACATCTACTTTGTGCATGACACAAGTAATTTTTCCAACAATTGTTTACAGACAGATTATTTCACTTATAATTCACTATATCACAATTCCAGTGGGTCAGAAGTTTACATACACTAAGTTGACTGTGCCATTAAACAGCTTGGAAAATTCCAGAAATGATGTCATGGCTTTAGAAGCTTCTGATAGGCTAATTGACATTATTTGAGTCAATTGGAGGTGTATCTGTGGATGTATTTCAAGGCCTACCTTCAAACTCAGGGCCTCTTTGCTTGAAAAAAATGGTAGACCTCCACAAGTCTGGTTCACCCTTGGGAGCAATTTCCAAACGCCTGAAGATACCACATTCATCTGTACAAACAATAGTACGCAAGTATAAACACCATGGGACCACGCAGCCGTCATACCGCTCAGGAAGGAGACTCGTCCTGTCTCCTAGAGATGAACGTACTTTGGTGCGAAAAGTGCAAATCAATCCCAGAACAACAGCAAAGGACCTTGTGGAGATGATGAAGGAAACCGGTACAAAAGTATCTATAAATAGGAAAAAGGCGGTGCTAGCAAGCCGAAGAACACCATCCCAACCGTGAAGCACGGGGGTGGCATCATCATGCTGTGGGGGTGCTTTGCTGCAAGAGGGACTGGTGCACTTCACAAAATAGATGGCATCATGAGGAAGGAAAATTATGTGGATATATTGAAGCAACATCTCAAGACATCAGTCAGGAAGTTAACGCTTGGTCGCAAATGGGTCTTTTTATTTATTTATTTTTTATTTCACCTTTATTTAACCAGGTAAGCCAGTTGAGAACAAGTTCTCATTTACAACTGCGACCTGGCCAAGATAAAGCAAAGCAGTGCGATTTAAAAACAACAAACACAGTTACATATGGAATAAACAAAATGTACAGTCAATAACACAATAGAAAATCTATATACAGTGAGGGAAAAAAGTATTTGATCCCCTGATGATTTTGTACGTTTGCCCACTGACAAAGAAATGATCAGTCTATAATTTTAATGGTAGGTTTATTTTAACAGTGAGAGACAGAATAACAACAACAAAATACAGAAAAACGCATGTCAAAAATGTTATAAATTGATTTGCATTTTAATGAGGGAAATAAGTATTTGACCCCCTCTCAATCAGAAAGATTTCTGGCTCCCAGGTGTCTTTTATACAGGTAACGTGCTGAGATTAGGAGCACACTCTTAAAGGGAGTGCTCCTAATCTCAGCTTGTTACCTGTATAAAAGACACCTGTCCACAGAAGCAATCAATCAATCAGATTCCAATCTCTCCACCATGGCCAAGACCAAAGAGCAGTACGCCACAGGATGTTTTTGTGCTGGTCAAGGACAGTCAAGTCTGGTGTGAACCAGGGGCTATATCTGTTCTTAGTTCTGGATTTTTTGAATGGGGCATGCTTATTTAAGATGGAGAGGAAATAACTTTTGAAGAACATCCAGGCATCCTCTACTGACGGAATGAGGTCAATATCCATCCAGGATACCCGGGCCAGGTCAATTAGAAAGGCCTGCTCGCTGAAGTGTTTTAGGGAGCGTTTGACAGTGATGAGGGGGGTTCATTTGACCGCGGACCCATTACGGACGCAGGCAATGAGGCAATGATCGCTGAGATCCTGGTTGAAGACAGCGGAGGTGTATTTAGAGGGTAAATTAGTCAGGATGATATCTATGAGGGTGCCCATGTTTACGGATTTAGGATTGTACCTGGTAGGTTCCTTGATAATTTGTGTGTGATTGAGGGCATCTAGTTTAGATTGTAGAACGGCCGGGGTGTTAAGCATATCCCAGTTTAGGTCACCAAGCAGTACGAACTCTGAGGATAGATGGGGGGGTGGCTGCAGCAAGCGGCAACAGTGAGAGACTTATTTCTGGAAAGGTGGATTTTTAGAAGTAAAAGCTGAAACTGTTTGGGCACAGACCTGGATAGTATGATAGAGCTCTGCAGGCTATCTCTACAGTAGATTGCAACTCCGCCCCCTTTTGCAGTTCTATCTAGACGGAAAATGTTGTAATTCGGGATGGACATTTCTGAATTTTTGGTGGCCTTCCTAAGCCAGAATTCAGACACTGCTAGAACATCAGGTTTGGCAGAGTGTGCTAACGCAGTGAATAGCTCAAACTTGGGGAGGAGGCTTCTGATGTTGACATGCAAGAATCTAAGGCTTTTACGGTTACAGAAGTCAACAAATAATAGCGCCTGGGGAGTAGGAGGGATACTGGGGGCTACAGGGCCTGTGTTAACCTCTACATCACCAGAGGAACAGAGGAGGAATAGAATATGGATACGGCTAAAGGCTTTAAGAACTGGTCTTCTAGTACGTTGGGTACAGAGAATAAAAGGGGCAGATTTCCGGGCGTTGTAGAATATATTCAGGGCATTATGTACAGACAAGGATATGGAAGGATATGAGTACAGTGGAGGTACACCTAAGCATTGGGTAACAATGAAAGAGGTAGCATCACTGGAGGCACTGATTGAGCCGGTCTCCGCGTGTATGGGGGATGAGACAAAGAAGCTCTCTGAGGCTGGTTTAATGGGACTGGAGGTTCTACAGTGAAATAGTACAATAAGAACTAGCCCAAACAGCAATAGGCTAGGCATATTGACATGGGAGAGAGGCATAACGCAATCACAGGTGTTATTCGAGAGGGCTAAGACAACAACTGGTAATGGCGATGAAAGTTTGGGCTGAGGCTAAACAGATAAACAGGATAGGGTACTGTGTAAAGGAACAGTCTAGCAGGCATCAGCTGTGTAGCTGAGTGATCATAAGGTCCAGTGAACAGCAATAGCTGAGTCCGGGAGCAGTTCGAATGGCTGCTACAGCACAGGCGAGCAGGAGGCACGGCTGTTGATTGCGCATGCTAGCGGGCCGGGGCTAGCAGATGGATCTTCGTGGTCATTGCAACGGGAAGCCTGTTGAAACCACATCAGACGATTACGTTGGCAGACCAGTCGTGATGGATCGGCGGGGCTCCGTGTCGACACTAGGAGGTCCCGTCCGGTTGACAGAGAGGTAGATAGCCGGGAGATGGGCCTGGCTCGAGGCTAGCTCAAGGCTAACTGGTGCATCGGGACAGTGGTGAATTAGCCAACAACAGCCATTCAGTTGCAGCTAGCTAGTTGCGATGATCTGGTGTTAAGGTCCAGTGATTCAGTGATTCCGGCAGAAAATCCGATATGCTCTGGGTCGATAGCACGTTGTGCAGACCGATAATTGTCCAGGCTAGAGCTGGCTGGTAGGTAGTGCAGGCCACGGACAGTGGGGAAGACCGCTAACGGTGGCTAATAGCAAGTAGCTAGTTAGCTGGCTAGTTTCAGCCGTAGGTTCTTGATAAAAATAAAGAAATAATAGAATCCGTTCCACATTGGGTGAGGCGGGTTGCAGGAAAGTATATTTGGTAAAGGATGGGAAGTGAGAGAGAGAAATATATACGAAAAAAAGAAAAAAACAGGCTATTTACACGAGGACACAACACAATACACGACCACACTGCTACGCCATCTTGGATTCCAAATGGACAATGACCCCAACCAAAGTTGTGGCAAAATGTCTTAAGGACAACAAAGTCAAGGTATTGGAGTGGCCATCACAAAACCCTGACCTCAATCCTATAGAACATTTGTGGGCAGAACTGAAAAGGCGTGTGCGAGCAAGGAGGCCTACAAACCTGACTCAGTTACACCAGCTCTGTCAGGAGGAATGGGTCAAAATTCACCCAACTTATTGTGGGAAGCTTGTGGAAGGCTACCCGAAACGTTTGACCTAAGTTAAACTATTTAAAGGCAATGCTACCAAATATTAATTGAGTGTATGTAAACTTCTGACCCACTGGGAATGTGATGTGGGAAATAAAAGCTGAAATAAATCATTCTCTCCAGTATTATTCTGACATTTCACATTCTTAAAAGAAAGTGGTGATCCTAACTGACCTAAGACAGGGATTTTTTACTAGGATTAAATGTCAGGAATTGAGTTTAAATGTATTTGGCTAAGGTGTATGTAAACTTCCGACTTCAACTGTATGTCAAGTGCTCGACATGACAAGTAGATCTGCATGCCTTAACTATGGTTACCATAAGATCACCAAGATGAAGGGAGATGGGAAGGAGAGTCCTGCATTGTGGGGTGGGGTTCAGAACTTCCACATGCTTTCATTTTGTCTTGGGTAGTTTACGTAGACCTATGGCCCTCCATAAAAACTTCTTAACAGCTGACATAGGCATTCATAACCGCACACTGTGCTCCCAAAGAAAACACGTCATGTCATAGACTATTATACATCCAGATGTGTGCTCCTCAGTTGGTGTTACCAATGTATCCCACCTGTTGACAACACAATTATTATACTGAACAAAAAATATAAACGCAACATGTAAAGTGTTTGTCCCATGATTCATGAGGTGAAACATGTGCACACATTTGTTTACATCCCTTTTAGTGAGTATTTCTCCTTTGCCAAGATAATCCATCCACCTGACAGGTGTGGCATATCAAGAAGCTGATTAAACAGCATGATCAGTACACAGGTGCACCTTGTGGTGAGGACAATAAAAGGCCACTCTAAAATGTGCGGTTTTGTCACACAACACAATGCCACAGATGTCTCAAGTTTTGAGGGAGCATGCAATTGGCATGCTGACTGCAGGAATGTCCACCAGAGCTGTTGCCAGAGAATTGAATGTTAATTTCTCTACCATAAGAGAATTTGGCAGTAAGTCCAACAAGGCCTCACAATCGCAGACTATGTGTAACCACGCCAGCCCAGGACCTCCACATCTGGCTTCTTCACCTGTGGGACCGTCTGAGACCAGCCACCCGGACAGCTGTTGAAACTGAGGAGTATTTCTGTCTGTAATAAAGCTCATTCTGATTGGCTGGGCCTGGCTCCCCAGTGGGTCGGCCTATGCCATCCCAGGCCCAACCATGGCTGTGCCCCTGCCCAGTCATGTGAACTCTATAGATTCGGGCCTAATTAATTTATTTCAATTGACGGATTTCCATATATGAACTGTAAATCGTTGAAATTGTTGTATGTTGCGTTTATATTTTTGTTAAGTATATTTGTATCCCCTTCAATTTTATTTATTTGGTCATTTTTCTATTAAAAGCTGCTAAATATTTATATAATATTTTCTTACACTGTTTATTTCCTTATGTGGGAACATGCAATGCAATACATCTTGGCAAGCACAGTCTATGTAGCTGCAGCTTTCATATAAAGATGTTGCTGTGCATGTTCATAGCTGTCACTTGCTCAAATTGAGAGAAAAAAAGTTACAAAATAATGCTTATTATTAAAGCTGTTGCAATAAAGTTGTTTTATTCACCAAAGCTTTGTTTCATTCTGACCTAACTGGCTGTTCAAGCAAGCAAGCCTTTTTATGAAAGCCCCCATGCAGTCTTTGTAATTTAGTTTTTAAATCACTATGTGTAACACATCACTATGTTTATTTAATGAAAATAACTCCAATACATTTTTTTACATTTATTTCCCTAAGCCTCCTTTGGCCCTTGAAATGCTCAGTCTGATTGTGTTGGCGTTAGGAAACAAATGTGGAGATATTTACATACACAGCACTAATTCGCTGAGAGGATAGTCTAGAGCCCACCCCCTTACCCAGATGAACATTAATTGGTCTATTATAATCAGATCACATTGTGATGTCATGATGTGGGCCAAAAGGCTGAAATTCAGTTTTTTCTTACACAAAAAGGCCATTATTATGATTTTCACAATTTCAGTGTTATTTCGACCTTATAGTATGGAAATATATTATTATTTTTAAACAGAAAATCACGTTTTTTACCACTTCCCCTTTAAGTAGAGGTCATCAGTGTTCAGTGGATCCTTTAAGGGGGTGAACTGCATGGATCAGTCCAACAGGTTTCTCTCTTGCCTGAACAACAGAGATGTCTATGTACAGTGCCTTCAGAAAGTATTCACACCCCTTGCCGTTTTATAAATGTTGTTGTTTTACAGCCTGAATTTAAAATGGATTAAATTGAGATTGTGTCACTGGCCTACATACAATACCCTGTAATATCAAAGTGGAATTATGTTTTTCACATTTTTTACAAATGAATGAAAAACTGAAATGTCTTGAGTCAATAAGTAATCAACCCCTTTGTTATGGCAAGCCTAAATAAGTTCAGGAGTAAAAATGTGCTTAACAAGTCGCATAAGTTGCATGGACTCACTCTGCGTACAATAATAGTGGTTAACATGATTTTTTAATGGCTACCTCATCTCTGTACCCCACACATACAATGATCTGTAAGTTCCCTCAGTCGAGCAGTGAATTCCAAACAGATTCAACCACAAAGACCAGGAACTGAGGATGGATAAACAACATTGTAGTTACTCCACAATACTAACCTAAATGAAAGAGTGAACAGAAAAATGTGGCAAGAAATGAACCTATTGTCCTGAATACAAAGCATTATGTTTGGGGCAAATCCAACACAACACATCACTGAGTACCACTCTTCATATTTTCAAGCATGGTGGTGGCTGCATCATGTTATGGGTATGCTTGTCATGGGCAAGGACTAGGGAGTTTTTTAGGATAAAAAGAAAAGGAATATAGTTAAGTACAGGAAAACCTTGTCGTCTGCTTTCCAACTGACACTGGGAGACAAATTCACGTTTCAGCAGGACAATAACCTAAAACACAAGGCCAAATATTCACTGGAGTTGCTTACGACATTGACTGTTCCTGAGTGGCTTAGTTACAGTTTTGAGTTAAATCAGCTTGAAAATCAATCGTAAGACTTGAAAATGGCTGTCTAGCAATGATCAACAACCAACTTGACAGAGCTTGAAGAATTTTAAAAAGAATCATGTGCAAATATTGTACAATCCAGGTGTTCAAAGCTCTTAGACTTACCCAGAAAGACTCACTGCTGTAATAGCGGCCAACGGTGATTCTAAACTGTATTGACTCAGGGGTGTGAATACTTATGTAAATGAGATGTTTCTGTATTTCGTTTTCAATCAATTTGAAAAAAATCCCCAAAACATGTTTTCAGTTTGTCATTATAGGGTACGATTAAAAATTATGAATTTTGGATTCAGACTAACACAACAAAATGTGGAATAGGTCAAGGGGTATGAATACTTTCTGTAAGAATTGTATTCCGTTGTCTCCTGGCTGGTTAAATGGTCCACTCCATAATATATTACACATTGAGTCATGTCACATGTCCATGCACAAACTCATTGTCAAGACAGTTGCGCCCATGATTGAGTCTTGGAGCATTATATCTGTAGCAAGATTTACACTGAGTGTACAAAACATTAAAACAACTCTTTTCATGACAAACTGGCCAGGTGAAAGCTATGATCCCTTATTGATGTCACTTGTTAAATCCACTTCAATCAGTGTAGATGAAGGGGAGGTCACCGGTTAAATAATTATTTTTAAGCCTTGAGACATGGATTGTGTATGTGTGCAATTCAGAGCGTGAATGGGCAAGACAAACGTTTTAAGTGCCTTTGAACGGTGTATGGTAGGAGGTGCCAGGTGCACCGGTTTGTATCAAGAACTGCAACGCTGCTGTGTTTTTCACACTCAACAGTTTCCCGTGTGTATCAAGAATGGTCCACCACCCAAAGGACATCCAGCCAACTTGACACGACTGTGGGAAACATTGGAGTCAACATGGGCCAGCATCCCTGTGGAAGGCTTTCGACACCTTGTAGAGTCCATCCCCCGACTAATTTAGGCTGTTCTGAGGGCAATGTTTTGTACACTCAGTGTATAGTATCTGCATGTCTTCTATTTCCCCCCAGATTGTTTTATTTTATTTTTGCAATAATTATCCTATGCTGTTCATTGTTGTTTTCTATTTTTGTCTGACCTTTTTATGTGGGCATGTTTGCCATCCACAAATCACCTTATGAATATCTATGCCTTAACATTCAAATGACACTAAGTGGTGTTGCGCTCTGTCATAACCTGGACATTTGTATTATTTCAAGCTGAAATAAAAGACAATCTGAAGAAGAGGAATGTTCTGGATTTGAATATCTTAAGAGAACCATTTGTTTACTGCAATTGGGTAGAATTTTTTTGAGCTCAATGTTTGTTGCGGGGATTATGCATACCGGTATTCCTTTAATATTTGTTTTCTTATGGCAGTCATATCTTTAATACAGCCCAAAGGTCCTTCTTTGTTGAACAGTCTTTAATTTCCTTGTTAGCTATACTTAACCAAACTCTATCGATCTACAGTATCTATATCTCTATGAGAATGCAGCCTTTCCATTCAAACTTCTACTGCTATATGCCCACAAGCCTACCTCAACATGCAAGACTGAGAACACACTTCTCAAGATGTCACCAAAGCAGGAGTAAGGGACCATTGGAAAATACTACTAAGCTATGTTTTAGGGAATTCTCTCATAGCCCAATGTATGATTATGTGCGTATGTTCAGTGTCAGGAGAATTTTCCCAAATGGAACACGATAAATCCACTCTGTCAGATGTCAAAGGCTTCCCATGTCCTTCATCCAGCCAATACAGTGATTTTAACCAATTTAACTAGCAGATGTTATATGGTTGTGCAGCCTTAAAACTCATTCTATAAGACCAAGACACAAGTGGTTTCTGAGCAAAGGACAAAATGCATGTTTCATCATTTTTTGTGAGGTTTAGTAGGATAAGATTAACAAGAGTTAAGTATTTATTCAAATAGCTGCAGTTCATTCAAAGTATTTCCACCGCTATGTTGTGCTAATAGCTTTGCCTGGGATACAAATCCAGTCTCCTAAAGTTAATATAAATTAAGTCATTGAGAAAAAATAGAAAATGGTTATATATACAGTATATAGTGAAAAATACAGTTATCATGTAATCAAACAAATATCTCATGGTTACAATAGAAAAATACACACATTGACCCAATAAATGGCTCCATCTACCAGCCGATAGAAATACTGACTCAGAAGAATACTGTAAGGCATAACGTGGTTAATGGAAAGGACTTATTTTCACCATGTTAAATATAGGTTTTCTTGTAGGCTTCTGGTTTCTGGAGGAATAATCCATAGCCAGCAGCATTCTAAAGAAGCTGTTTTGCGTTTTCCCCACAAATTGTTAAGGTTATGATTGTCAGAGGGGAAGCGGATCCTAGATCTGTACCTAGATCAAGAGAAACTTCACCCTGGAGTGGTCTAGACATTGTTTGGCAGGGCCACTTTGACAGTCTTTATCTCTGAGATGTGGGAGGACTTCTGGATGATGCAGCTGGTGGTGGTAGTCCCTGTGGTGCAGCACTGCCCCTGGGCCAAGTTAGTCAGCGCCATGGCAGCGTGGATCTCTCTCCACTCTGCCTCCTCCCTCCTCTGGCCTCTCTCACTCTTCCCCTCACTGCGAACGACATAAAGGAGAGATTTTGAGCCTAGACCGTATCATTAATGTACACTCCCCAAGATGAAATCATCATTCACAACAGGGAGACTTCCTACTAACAGACAACAGCATGTATTAACAGAAATGCATCTGTCTAGACTGCCATTATTTGCTCACCCCAATGTGGGTGTGCCACAACGAAATGTTGCATTATTACATGTTTATGAATAATACTACATCTTTATGCTGGACTGTTAAGGGAATATAATAATAATAATAATAATAATAATAATAATATGTCTGCATTCTTATGCAGCTAGAACACTTATACTCGCTATAAAGAAAGGTACACCAGTTAGAAGGGCTCCATAAACAAACATACTCTTACCTGTCACATCTAGTTGATGCATAGTCCATCGTGTCTGAAAACATGGACAGAAAACCCCCAGAATTACATTTATTGTACAGGAAAGGCCAAAAAAGGATCAAGTATGCAGTTTTCTGGAACCTATACTTCGCATACATTTATATATGTGTGAGTGTTTGTTGGCATTGTGTTTTCTATTCAGGTTTTTCCGTTTCTGTGTGCGTTACAGTATTTGCATATGTGTTCTCTCGGTGCGTGTGCATGTGTGTGTGTGCATGCACATGTGCACTTTAACTGCGCCAGAGGGCCTTAACTCACTGAAGTACTCCAGTCTGGCTGCTCCTAAGCACTCCGGCCAAAACAAATGCAATTATGTTTCTCCTGTGCCTTTTGAGATGGAAAAATACGATATCTGTGCAGTGTCATGAACAGGTCTCCAGAGCTCGTTTGCGTCCATAAAGTTATTTCACTGTTTTTCAATCCACCATCTGCCCTCGCCCTTTATGTTTGGACTGAGAACTGCAGATCATCATACATCATAGAAATGTGCATGGGAGTATTGTGTGAATGAGCGACATGTACTGTAATACTCCCTCTATGGCTCTTTAGTGGCAGTGTCTCACCTTCTGGGTGTCTTTGGTTCTGCTAAACTGATCGAATCACCATATTCATTGATGGCCATCTCCCGTTGTATTCTTTGGATCTTAAGTGCTTTTTGAACAGTGTTGTTGCCAGGTTGAAACTTTTTATGGAAAATGTATGCTCAAATGTTGGTTTATCAATCTACAAAATACACTTTGTGTACAGTTTGGGTGTTATCATAATTTGTTATGTTTTAGTTTATAAATTAGTAAGAAATAGTGTGTTGATTTGCATGTTTGCAGACATGTTTTTCATGTGTACACAGCAGTAGGGCTATCTGTTTTGTTGCGTCAAGTCAGACGGGTCAAAAGATATTTCTCTTCAGGGAGCTATAAGCAGGAAAATTAGAGGCCAATTGCGAGCATGCAAAATGCCGCTTTCAATATTCGCTGCCTGAAACATCTCAGACTCCGATTTCTATAACAAGGCCCAGGCCAAGAGCAACTATAGGCAGACAATAAATCATTTGGCGCCTCTCACATGTTGCTACTGAATGTCTCTACTCTTTTTTTGTTGGTTCTGACATTTATGTTTTAAAAAGGAAAATAGTACTTTTCTGGAAAACTATCACTAAATCAAAATGTACATGTAAATCATTATGGGGAAATTGGACTGTGCTGTGTTTGCCTTGTGTCATTTATGTTTTACAAGAATTCTCCATTCGTTTTACTAAATAGTGTTTTGTGCAAGACCTGTAAAATCATGTTAGCGTCTATCAGACCAATTCTGACCTGGGACATCGACTACAACAAATATTAAATTCCTTGGCTTACTCTGAAAATAACATTTCCATTCTGATCATAGAAGTCCTCTTAAGTCATGAACTCATAAAGTAGTGTTGCTCAACCCTGGACTTCAAGGGGATGCAGTGGCGGATAGTTTTCACTTGCCCTCAAAAGTTAGTCAAAGCTTGATTGGCACTTCAGATAGACAAATCAGATATAAAAATCTAAATCAGTTGCTAATTGAGAGACAGATTGAAACCAAGCTACCAAGAATTATAACTGTTCATCTAGAGCAGGGCTGCCCAACCCTCTTCCTGGATATCTACCGTGCTGTGGGTTTTCAGTCCAACCCTAATTTAACACACCTGATTCTACTTATTAGCTGCTCAACAAGACCTTAACTAGCTGAATCAGATACGCTAAATTAGGGTTGGACTGAAAACCTACAGGACAGTAGATCTCCAGGAAGAGGGTTGGGCAGCCCCGATCTAGGGTATCAGAAAACGAGGAACTTCTGTCTCAGCATGAATGTTTTAATTTTGCAACAAACTAGGTGAAAAAAGTGTGCAGTGTCTAGATCGGCTTTCCTCACTCCATATAAGAAATGAATGCAGTAAGATTTATTAGTCTCTAGCTCATTGAAGGGAAATCCTGGACTTGATGGGAAGGCCACTTGTTATAGTTTAACAGCATATTTCAACGTCAAATTCAAACTTCAAATGAAGACTTTCACTTGGCAGGCAGATTTAGTGTTTGATGACCTGTCGTTATATTGGACATCCAAGAAACAACACTAATTAGCATGTCCCAGATAGGCGTAGTGACTCTTTTACCCCTCCCTAGTGCAGTGTAAAAAAGTGTTAACGTTCTGAGTTCTTTTGAGGCTGCATCAAGGTTCAGCACTGCTCTTTTTGCTGTGTGCCTGTATAGAAATCTGAAATATTTCTTGATATCTGACTGTAATGTTCTGTTCTACCAATGTTCTGTTGGTAGCTTACCCTAAAACTAGGCTAATGAGGTAAGAAATTAATGTGATATATACTGTCGTGTTTATGAACCAATTTGAGAAACTATACTTGCAACTTTGAGTGTGGATATAGTTGTTTGAACTTCCAGAAGCAGGTCTGTGGGGCTTTAGTAACAGGGTCAAAGCAAAAATACACATTGAAATGCCATTTGTACCAGAAACTTTGGCAAAGATCCTCATGTCTCACCTTGGGAACAATAAAATCTCAGACATTCTGTAATTGACCCTGAGACCTGACATTTTCCACCATGGCAAGGAAACAACGCACTCTAGAATATGATCATGGAAATCATAGGACCAATGAAGTAGTCTCCTACTTTGGCTAAACAAGATCAAGGATTTTTTAAGCAAGGGATTTAGATGTCAGCACAAGTTTCTATTAGCTGTTGCTTTGGCTCCAGGACCTTTCTGGAGTTTAGAGTTGTCAACCTGATTTAGGGCAGTGCTCGTAACTTCAGGTCCTGAAGTGCATCCAAGTGTCAAACATGTCTCCCTCTAACCTATTTGTGTCCTGTTAAAGCTTTCAACATTGACAGATAAGACCAACTGAATGAAAATAAGTTCTGCAAACCTAAAGCGGCAAATCTTAAAACTGCAATATAACTTTTTGGGCGACCCGACCAAATCCACATAGAAATGTGAGTTATAGATCTGTCATTCTCATTGAAAGCAAGTCTATGAAGCGGTAGATCTGTTCTATGTGTGCTATTTCTATGCTTTTTGTTTCTCAAAATCATTTTCACTTGGTTAATAATACAAATCGGAATTAAAATGATAAAAATGAAGTTAAAATGCCACCAATGCGAGAGCACTGGCCTCTGCTATAGACATTGATTATTGATTCACCGTGAACCATTGGCAGCTAAAGAAATTAGAGACAGCCTAGGCCAATGTAGCAGTAGGCCTGTAACTTCTATTGTCAACTTAGTAAAAATGCATAAACCTGACATATAAAAAAACGTAAAATATCCTGATGAAAATGCAGGTTATTTTATCTCACTATACTCTGCCTGTCTGTCTCCATTTATATCTGTCTTACTGGGTCCGGCCCAATGACTGTATATGAAGGTCCAGCCCTAAGCTTGCTAACTTGCAACAGTATATCAGCTAGCCTATTCCGGGCCCTCCGAGTTTCCGCACCAGTGAGCTCCGGACAGACACAGCTGTTTTTGCGCAAAAGGAAATGTGTTCAGGTAGGCTAAATGACTGAGAAGCTCAGCTTATTAGTGGTGGTGAGTTAAGACAATCAGAAATCAGACATCCAGTTAGCCTATGCGTGCTCATGCGCTCCATCAACATTAAGAGGACAGAAAAAACAGGCACGTGCTCATTGCTCACATTTAGCGCCCCCCCCCCCCTCCCCAAAATGAAAACATTTACAAAACTCGTAAATGATGGTAAGAAATATAAACCAAAACTTGCTTCTCACAAGTGTAGCAGGTTGTGATGTTTCCACTCCAACTTCACAGTAAATGACTGTAGGCCTAATTCATCCATGCATTAACAGAAATTAATGTAACCAAATGACAGGGATTAACGGTAAATTTACTACTGGTGACGTGTAATGGGGAATTGTTACAAACAAGCAAAGGGCAAACAATTAACACAATAAAACAATAATGTGCAAGAATTGGCGAGAGACGCATCAGCACATTCAGGAGAATTGAGAGCATTCTGGAGAGAGACAAGCCAATATATTTGCCACACCCCCCCTCCCCTTCTTCTTGTCTCAACATTTCAAATTATACTGAAGACACATTATCTTCACATATTTTACATGCATTGCTTTTCATTGACAGCCTTGTCTCAATAATCAGGCCTATTAACACTCGCGCTGCCCAAATTGTGGGCTTCCCAACTAGGCATAGGCCTACACGCTTGTGGTTTGAAACAATACAGCTTTAAATAAGCTAATGATCCTTTTTGGCTAAGTCATGCTCTCTGGTGAAGTATTTGGAATGATTTTATTTCTGTATACAGGAGACAGGAGTAATTATATAATTTTGGCAAATGTATTTCCATTTACTTTAGAATGCAGTGATACTGTTACCGAATCTTGTCCCATGCTTAGGCGACTCATCACAGCACCCTCCTACGCAAAACATCTTCCCGCGGCTGTCTCCGCCCCATGGCAAAATTGGTAGAATTGCATGAAATTTGTTATAAAATTGCACAATCTTCTCTCCGCCCCATAGCAAAATGTGTAGAATTGCAGCAAACTTGCTATAAAACAGCAACATTTTCTCTAAACCCCATGGCAAAATGTGTATAATTGCACGAAATTAACTCTAAAACTCTAAAAATTAACTCCATCCCTGGTTTAGACGGTACAATGATTCTCTACACAATGACTGCTTGTGTTGTCACGTAAACTGAAATTAGGAAAACGATTCCAATTTTTTATCAACCAGGAAATGGCGGAGCGATCTCTACATATTCTACCGTTAACCCTTGAAGTAAGCTAGTTGGTTAGCATTATGCCATGCCAGTGAGCCAGTCATTGTAAAGCTACAGTACGTTAGCTAGTATGTCTGCATATGACATCTCTTATGTCCTGCGTATGGCAGTGTTCTGTAGACTTTGGTCAGAGTTTCAAGTAAAGTGTCACCAAAGAATAAGGAATCTCTTACCCATATGGTAGAGCGAGTTTGTCTCTGCCTCAGAGGAAGAGGGCGAGACGAGGTCGTCGTCACACTCGTTGGAGCTGAACGACCCTGAGTGGTTCCTCAGGTGGGACTTTGTGATGTCATCAGGGGTCGCCATCACGTGTTGTAGGGTGTCGTTAAGGTACCGGTTCAGCAAACTGCTCTTGTACTTGGGGGGTGGAGAGACGTAGTCGTCACTGAAGGCAGGATCAGTCCTGTTCTCCTGTTTGATGACACTCTTAAGGGAGGGCCTGGAGAGCTCTGATTGGCTAGCTGGGGTTTGTAAGGGACACTCGTCATCTGCAAAAAAGTAAAAAATAAAAACATAATGTTGGTCCCTCGTCAACTGCCACTGGTCTCCAAAAGAGGCTGAATATCTCACACATTCATTTGAAAGTTTTAACTACAGTGTTAAAAGGTTAGCAACTCTATTAGTCAAAATATTACACAGAGAGTTGATTTTGAATAACATAACATAACATTTGTGAATGGCCGGTGTTCATTTTCAACTTTTTACAGAGTTACAGAAATGTAAAAAGTGTAACATTAACTCTGTGTGGGACACTATAAACAGTTGGTGGGTGTTAAAATGAACACTTAGAGTTGATTTTAAACTTGCGGTGTTGCTATGTGTAATGCATATTTGTTGAGATTACATCCCCAGCTATAACCCTGCTTAGCATACGTACCGCCAGTCCCTCTTACCCTCAGAGTTGGTGTCTTCACTGCTTACACTCAGTCTCTCAGCGTTGCCCTGGATGTATTTGTTGTAGAGTTTGATCCGTAGAGCCCAACTCAGGTCTGGCTGCCTCACTGTGTTCTTCAGCCTCCGCCGGGCATTGGCAAACCAGTTTGAGACCTGCAACATAAGCATCAAGAAAATAAAAAAGGAACATTCATTTTATGTATTTCAGAACTTCAACTTGTCAGAAAAAAAATAAAATCTGCCTGGCTTCTGCTTTGACTTCTATGGTAGTATCCATATGACCCAAGCCATACCTTGCTTTGAGGGGTGTGTGGTTTGCCTCAGCTCACCTGTACTAAAGTCATGCGGGACCCCAGGGCGAGCAGGACCTTCTCTGTCTTGGTGGGGTAGGGGTTGTCCTTGTGTTTGTACAGCCACTGCTTAAGCGGCCTCGCCATGTCCTGAAGCACCTGGCGCTTGTGGCAAACTTTGACCCCACCCAGACAAGACCTGTGTGTGAGGTGATATATGATATGGCATTTTTCCTATTTTGTTGCCTTACTTACCACTTTGAAGATGCAAAATATTTTTTCTTGTGAAATAAACAAGAAATAAGACAAAAAAAAACTGAAATCTTGAGCGTGCATAACTATTCACCCCCCCAAAGTCAATACTTTGTAGAGCCACCTTTTGCAGCAATTACAGCTGCAAGTCCCTTGGGGTATGTCTCTATAAGCTTGGCACATCTAGCCACTGGGATTTCTGCCCATTCTTCAAGGCAAAACTGCTCCAGCTCCTTCAAGTTGGATGGGTTCCGCTGGTGTACAGCAATCTTTAAGTCATACCACAGATTCTCAATTGGATTGAGGTCTGGGCTTTGACTAGGCCATTCCAAGACATTTAAATGTTTCCCCTTAAACCACTAGAGTGTTGCTTTAGCAGTACGCTTAGGGTCATTGTCCTGCTGGAAGGTGAACCTCCGTCCGAGTATCAAATCTCTGGAAGACTGAAACAGGTTTCCCTCATGAATTTCCCTTTATTTAGCGCCATCCATCATTCCTTCAATTCTGACCAGTTTCCCAGTCCCTGCCGATGAAAAACATCCCTACAGCATGATGCTGCCACCACCATGCTTCACTATGGGCATGGTGTTCTCGGGGTGATGAGAGGTGTTGGGTTTGCGCCAGACATAGCGTTTTCCTTGATGGCCAAAAAGCTCAATTCTAGTCTCATCTGACCAGAGTACCTTCTTCCATATGTTTGGGGAGTCTTCCACATGCCTTTTGGCAAACACCAAATGTGTTTGCTTATTTTTTTCTTTTCTTTTTTCTTTAATGGTTTTTTTCTGGCCACTCTTCCGTAAAGCCCAGCTCTGTAGAGTGTACGGCTTAAAGTGGTCCTATGGACAGATACTCCAATTTCTGCTGTGGAGCTTTGCAGCTCCTTCAGGGTTATCTTTGGTCTCTTTGTTGCCTCTCTGATTAATGCCCCCCTTGCCTGGTCCGTGTGTTTTGGTGGGCGGCCCTCTCTTGGCAGGTTTGTTGTGGTGCCATATTCTTTCCATTTTTTTTATAATGGATTTAATGGTGCTCCGTTGGAAGTTTCAGATATTGTTTTATGACCCAACCCTGATCTGTACTTCTCCACAACTTTGTCCCTGATCTGTTTGGAGAGCTCCTTGGTCTTCATGGTGCCGCTTGCTTGGTGGTGCCCCTTGCTTAGTGGTGTTGCAGATTATGGGGTAATTGGTTGCACCAGATCTTATTTAGCGGCTTCATAGCAAAGGGGGTGAATAAATATGCACAGACCACTTTTCCGTTATTTATTTTGTATAATTTTTTGAAACAAGTTATTTTTTCCATTTCACTTCACCAATTTGGACTATTTTGTGTATGTCCATTACATGAAATCCAAATAAAAATCAATTTAAATTACAGGTTGTAATGGAACAAAATAGGAAAAACGCCAAGGGGGATGAATACTTTTGCAAGGCACTGTAACTATGCTGGAAGAGGATTTGTTATCATTTCATAGTTTATTACAATGATAGGGTTGGTATACCTGATAGTTCAGGAACGGACTAGGACCAAAAATCAGCCCGAGCATTTTTTGTCTTTTCCCACTAGCACTAACTTTGCTGATAACGTCTTTGAAGATACATTTCCGACTGTGAAATGTGGTTGTCTCTTAGCTATCTTAAGATGAATGCACTAACTGTAAGTCGCTCTGGATAAAACCGTCTGCTAAATGACTAAAATGTAAAGTTATTTTTGGTGTCAATCCGTAGGTGCCACTGTTGGGCTGTGTAAGCAACCTAAAGTTTGTTCTCAGTGATGGGGATGTATGGATCAGGTTCCTTAAATATGCAGATATAACCTGGTTCTCCCAATTAATTCGAACATGCTTTTTGATCATGATCTTATCTGTCATCAAGTAATGTCTATCTTACACAACACTTACAATTGATGTTCCATATGACAACATTTTTTGCAGCATTACAGACAATGTTCAATATATTTAATAAAATATAGTGTTTTATGTGTGAACATTTTTTTGTAAATGCAAATATGGGGCTGCACTGAAGATATTTAAGCTGTGTGTAAAAATACATCTGATCAATTACCACGTTTCCATCCACAGTTTTTATGAGAGTAAAGTCATACCGTATAAAAAAAAAAGTGGAAGCGCAAATATTGATATAATAACCATCATATCGAAGTAAACTTGGAGTCACTCGATGATATGCTGTGTGTTCCACTACGACTCGGTTAACCGTGCAGTTTATTAGGCTACAGATTAAATAAGTTATGAGGAACTTCACAGAGTGTTGGAGCTTGATGCTCCTTTCCAATAAATATTGAGGGTCTTCTTCTGCTGACATGATGATCGATGCTTGACTGCCTTGACAAATACAAATATTCTCTCTCTTATCCATATTAATCTCATCAGTATCTGTATCTGCGAGCTGTTGGCTAGAGTCTTGGCCTTTTGTTATTTCTCTCAACAGTTTTTGTGACAAACTATCATTCAATTTGAAAATGCGTGGGAAATACGTTGAACATTCAATTTTTATTCGGTACATGAAACGTAAGCGGAAAAGTACATTTTGTGTTCACTACGTCATCACACATTGAGTTTAGTGGAAACACACCACTGGTGGGAAAATGTGCATAATTGAATGGAAAGCTAGCTACAGGTTTTTTTTTCTTTTGCCCTTAGTAAGTTGTACTGTATATGACAAAAAAAAAGAAAATGTGCTCACCCATACCTCCTATGTTTAACAACAGGGTTGTCTTCTATTGCCTCTTGGCATGGTTGTAAGTCTGTATGCTGTCTATCTGTTACCAGACAGTCCACAACGTCTCTCTCCCCCTCACTCCTGCGCTCCTCCAAAAGCTTGTGTTGATTTGACCTCTTCACAACAATGTTGTTCATTTTTTGATTGCGCATTTTATCCATACAACATCAGGCGCAACTGCAGAAGTTCAAATCCGAAGAGATGTTGTAGCTTTCCATCCTCACTGTGACATATACAAGCAGAGAAGTAACCCAGAGGTCTCGGAGCGCTCAGGACTTAAGCCATCGGTCCAAAAGACAGCTCATCTGGAGGAGTCCCTTGGAACCAGACCTTTACAAACCAGACACTGATGCCAGTCTTGCCTTTACCAATGAGAGAGTGTTGTCTGGGGAGTTCAAGTAACCTGCTCTCCTGCGTCTAACTGGCTGGCTATGGCTCTTTCAGCATCCAATTACAAGTCAAGAGATCTCTCTGCTCGGTGGAGGTAGCTGTTCACTGTATGTCGTACCAAGACTTGGGATGAATACCATGCGACAAGAACGCCAATAGATGAACTAACGTGTATGGATTGTGACGGGGAATCAGCACATTTTGGGCACTTTACTGAGCTTTGTTGAAGTTTGTAAGCGTTAAGAATGTAGGCTATCCGATATCCCAATGTCCTGATGTCTTAAGTCATCTGACACATGCACCCAATATTTACTTCTTAAGGATCATGAAACCTTGTGGTTTCCTCAACTGCCATGTCTGCAGATAATATATGTGTTACAAAAGGATTCTGGAAATGTATAGGTGTAACGACACGGTTTCTAATGTCCACTGAAACCCCTCAGCTGTGTTTTGAATTAGCTCTGTTACTTTAATAATACCAGCATTACTACACAGGTGTAAGAGGAACATAATGTAGTGTTACCAGACATTTGAAAAATAGATATACTTTACTTTACAACATCGGCGCTCCATTAGTGCGAGCGAGTGAGTGAGATAGAGAAGAGTGAGTGTAAATATAGTAGTGAGCACACTTATGTGTTAAAAAAACAAAAATGAAGCAGCACTATAATTGATAGTCAGCTGTGCAGTGATGAAAACTCGCTCTAACAGAGGCATCTGACTGTTCATAAGTTACTTTATGACAACCTTCAGGCTCTGTGCCCAGCACGATGTTGGACACTTCACTTTTACAGTAATCCCTCAAATGGAAAAGGAGTCAAATAAAGGCCTCCAAATACTCCCAACACAAGCAGAAAATGTGTTTTTCTCTATCTCAAATCTGTATTGCAGACAGTGCATACCTTCCACTGCAGTTTGACACTATAATATAGTTTTATACCCTATTGAACACCAGATGACCAAAACACGAAAAGATCCCTGTCTCTATACTAGGCTACTTGTCACACACACTTGGAATGATACGGCAGCTTGTACCAAAATACAGGTACACTTCCCATGACACTCAACCACACACATCATTCAGCAACAACAGGGGAGGTTCGGGTTAAACGTCTCCAAGCTGAAAAACACATGCAGCATCTACCATCAGGTACCATACATTTCACACATGCATTCCTTAGCGGTAGTCGGAGAATATTACATGGCACCACAGCTCATAAAGTCCTGTCCCTCAGTGATACATTAGACTGCTCTTTCTTCATTCAGTAGCTTGAAGACCTGTAGAATAAACACATTGGGAATTGACTTTGTCTCGTTTAGGTAGCTTGGAGCTGTTATGTTCCACAATAAAACGGAGCAGGTTGGTTTCCTTCCTTTTTTAAACTGTCTGTCTTTGAGAACATTAAGGACCCAGCCTGCTCAGACACGGTTACATTATTGTGTCAACAAGGGTCAGAGTCAGTTCCATTTCAACTTGTTCCAATTCTGAAAATGAAACTAAATGTAACATGTCCAATTGCCCTCTATTCTTAGTTAGGATCCTCAAATAGGCATGACATCGTATACTTTTAGCTTGTGAAATATTGCACGTTTACAAAATAGGAATCGATCATATCACTGTGTATATTTAACTGTACTGAAATCGATGGTTCTAATGACCAGTCCACTTTATAAGGCATTTTAAAGGATTATACACGCTTATAACAAGTTATAAAGCATTATACCTGGATGCTTTAAGTAAAGTATTGCCCTGGACATTCCTTCATTCTCTGAAATGGATCATAGGTGAACGGCGAGCCACTGTAAACAAAGAATAGAAGGATTTTCATTGGATCGTTACACTCTTTTTAATAGGATCGTTATGATGTCAGAGGGTGCCTGTGGATGCTCAGTGCGGTTATAAAATTATATTTTCACGCTCAGATGGATCCATGGCTAGTGTCTAGCAGCAAGGCTGCCACGGACAGTGTCCAAAAGTCTGGTATTGGACGGTTGGCAAGATTATGAACCGTATACCACTATTTCATCATCAAATCATTTAGCCGTTGAAAACATCCAACAGTAAGCCTGTAACAACTTGAGGAGATACATTTTTGAAATGATCTTTAACTTAGCAATATTTGTATTAAATCAATCTCTAGTTCAGGCTAACACATCATTTCCCTTGTAAGAGTTGCCATGTTTCCTCCCTAAAGCTACAGGATTGATTTGACCTCGGAATAAAGTATTCTCTTCCTCTCGTAACTTCCCTCTCTCTTTAAAGATACTACTCCAAAGTTTCCACTGTGTGGAAAGGACAACTCATTCTTTCTTAATATTTTTATTTCAATGCTTCTGGATGATTCAGCCATATTTTCATCAAACAATCAACAATCTTATACAATTACTAAATTCCTAACTCCTAAGTGAACATGACCAATTATAGTAAGGTCAGTGATTTGGTCATCTCAGTCTAATTCCACTCGTTGAGCCTCCACATCTAATAAAAGAAAAGAAAATACAGTATGGCTTTTTATGTTCCTAGTAACTCTTAGGCGGCTCGAGAGCCTAAATCCCCGGGAAACACATAACTGCCTTCACATCACGGCGGTTTCCTCTTGAAGACATGATGGACACATTTACATTCTTTCACACCCAATTGACAGCATGATCCAAAAGAGGAAGGAAATTCCCCTGTACTCACAGGAATGCAACCATTAAATGGAATTGCTGAAAGATTTACTGGCTGTGTTGTGTGCTGTATGTCATTCTCATTAGCCGTGAAGTCTGTAATTGTTGAATGGGAATGTTTGTCAATGATGTGTCACTAATGACAATTTTCTGACGTTGTCTGTAATCATGAACTCTTGCCAAGTGCACACTTTGCAACTTTGAAATCATACACTTGCTTATTAACTTCACACATGAATAGAAACAAATTCTAATTACAGTTATCTTGCAACGTAATCCTTTCATATTCAACCACTCCTCCCACGTCTGTACAATTCAATTGCTATTACACCATTTCAGCAACAAAAGCAATGAATCTGCTTCATCTTGTCCATGTTCCCTTGTTAACCTTTCCCTGTCAAAATGTCTTCAATTCATTTAGTTTCACCTACACCTTTTTTTCATATATTTTGTTAAGTGTTGACTATGCTTGTGTGTACTGTTTCCCTGTTCTACATGCCGCATGCTGTTAGTGTTGGTGAGTGTCTAATTCGACCCTAATTGCCAACGTAGAAATGCCAACTCGAAGAAAAGAAAAGCTGGCACATAGGCGGCAGGGACCGATAACACTTTTTTGGCCATGTAAGTACTATGATCAGACAGGAGGCGTAGGGATTTGGATTCCTATAGTTCTTTAAGAGCCGTGCTCTGTGACTAACTTGAAGTTGGGACTAGTTCTTTCTCATGAAGGCTGTCTAGATTCTGTCTACATATTACACATATAAATAACGATGATAGTATTTTACATTTAGCCAAATCTGAGTTTGTACATTATTTTCTCTGCCTTGAGTGCTTCCCCATACACTTCTGTATTCCTTTCAGGGGTGTGACCATATTCCATGACATTTCCTCTGTTTTGGCCAAATAGTATTTTTCCAGTTTAAAATGGGCAATCTGGGATTCAAACAACAACAAAGTGGTCACCCCACAGGTGAGGGATGGTGCTGGAGAAATGTAACCACCCTCAATGTTGACTGAAAACCAGTGGCCGGTGGCATCTTAATTGGGGAGGACCGGCTCATAGTAATGGCTGGAACGGAATTAATGGAATGGTATCGAACACATCAAACACATGGTTTCCATGTATTTGATACCATTCCAGTAATTCCATTCCAGCCATTATTAGGAGCCATCCCTCCCTGTGAGTGTGAATGAGGCATGTTTGACCAGGCTCTTAGAGTGTGTTCAGCACAAGCTCTCTGTGTTCAGTTCGGTGTGACTGGTCCACTCCACAGGAATCCACTGAGGCTCCTCCGTCTCAAGCTTTTCCAGCTCCGCCCTCAGTTTGTTGAATGCCATGGCGAAATCGCCGTTGACGATGACCATCTCAAACAGGTGGCCGTACTGGCTATCCATGGCTTCTGCTGAGCTAATCATATCTTCAAAGTCCTCTTCCTGTGAGAAACAGAAAGTACATGTGTGAATTCTGAATTCATAAATTCTACAGCTGAATTCTCACCTGTAGGCCAATTGTAGGTCATGCTTTGGAAGGATGGTAGTATGGGTCTTTCCATCCAAAAACATGAGTTTTATCACTCACTGTCAGGTGATCCTGCCTTTAGCTGCAAAGGGGTTTATGTGAAATAAACCCTGCACTGTTGAAACATCACATCAATAAACACCAGCATAAGGCAGGGATGGGCAACTTTGATGAGGGTGGGGGCCACAAAAAAATACGAAACTCATCATGAGGGGCCGCAGTGGCTCGTGGGTCTGTGTACCCACATTTCCTGCAATTCAACACATTTTGGCATAGGGTGGAGGCAAATGTTTTTAATATGATAACTTATTTACATTTACATTTACATCATTTAGCAGACGCTCTTATCCAGAGCGACTTACGACTTATTAACTTATTTAACTTATGATCAAATGGGAAAGTCGGTAATTCGACAATGCTTACTACAAGTTTAGATAGCTGGCAGCTAGACTAACTTACGAATCAAGAGAAAATTAGCTGACATAGGATAATTGAGTGACTGCTGATGAACAACCAAAGTTCGAAATGACACCTTGTAAGTTGTAAATTAATTAAATGTACGCATTGATTCTTCAAAAATATAACTTATTATTGCCTCATGAGCTTAGTTCAACTGTCATACCCCATCAGAACCCAAAATTAAAGCTTGTTTTACTAAATGTGAAAAAACACTAAATAGCCTCAAAAATGGTTTTCATCCATAGCTCTGTCTATGAATTTGAGAGTGGTTACATTACTCCAGCCCCATCCCTCATATCTTTACCGAAACAGGGGCGGGGAGACACTTTGTTTCAACTGCTGATTGACGCTTTAAGCATGGAGGCATATAATATGCTTAAATCGTGTTAGGCTCTGATGCCTGACATCGGACAACCTTAGACCACGGTCCAACCCAGATGTGTGACCCTATGTTTTCATAGAGGTGGCTGTGACCACAAACTGAGAATACAGATGGGAGTTATGAGAGTGACCTGACAACATCCACCAAGGCCCTCTGCCCCACCCAGAGACACACATATGCTGGCAAACAGATATGTTATTTTGGAACATACAGTGGGGTCCATAATTATTGGCATCCTTGATAAAGATGTGCAAAAAATACTGTATAAAATAATACAAATACTGAGCTATAATGTATGCTCCAAAAAATTCGGAAATTATATTATTTTATAGTAATACAATTGCTCAGAAAAATAGATGTTGTTTAACAAGTAATGAAAAAATATTTTTTTAAAGATAGCCGGTCAAAATTATTGGCACCCCTGTTTTCAGTACTCCAGCACCCTCCCCTTGCAAGGATAACAACACTGAGAATTTTTCTAAAATGTTTTATGAGATTGGAGATCACATTGGGAGTCGTCTAAGACCATTCCTCCATACAGAATCATTCCAGATCCTTGACATCCTTCGTCTGCCTTTTTCAATTCAAACCACAGGTTTTTAATGGGGTTCAAGTCAGGAGACTGAGATGGCCAGTGCAAAATGTTGATTTTGTGGTCAATTAACCATTTCTTTGTGGATTTTGACGTGTCCTTGGGGTTATTTTCTTGCAGTCAAGTGTCAGCCTCCTGGCAGAGGCAACCAGGTTTTTGGCTAAAATGTCCTACAATATACAGTCTTTTTTGCTCATCTTTATCAAGGATTCCAATCATTATGGACCCCACTGTATATGCAGCCCACCCAGCAGCCATTTTATTTGTGACCTTTTGGCCACTGACTACTCTTATAAGTCAGAGGATCAGCCATGTGTAAACTGAGGTGTGTGTGACCTCACACCACCTCATGCTTCCATGTTACAAGACCTGGGACACAAACATGTTTGATTATGTGTGTGTGTGTGTCCGACAAGTGAGAACAGATGACTTTTTTCAGTGTTCCCCTCCACCTTAATGATGACATGTACGAAGCTACATTGCAGCAAAAACATAAAGAACAGTTTCCATTCAAACATAGGTTTAAAAAAATATATAATAATACTTACTTATTATGCATTTAAACAATTTGCGCACCATTTATGAATCATTGTAAATGTTAGTAAGCTAGTTATTCACATATGTATAAACAACTTTTAAATAATGTATTAACGATTCATCAGATTTATAAAGTATTTATAAACTATAAATAGCGCTCACTTTAGATCAGGGACTGCAAAAAAATTACTAATGATTAGGAAAATGGTTTATAAGGATCTATATTAAACACCTTATGAATGAGCTTAGGAATTATTAATAAATGTGTGAATAACTAGCTTTCAAAGAAAAGGGAATCCCTCACATTTACAAATGTAGGAGTACTGATTCAACTATTTATAAATGTCTTATAAATGGTTTGTTACTGAACGTTTTTATAAACTGTTACCAAAAACTGTTTCACCCAGCCTTGACATTACCGAAAATGTCTTTGTCAGTTTCGTCATATCTTGGGTGGAAATGAATTTAGCTTTCCTTCGGCTTAAACGTAGCTCCTGAATCGATGGTGGCTTCACAAAAACAACACACGGTTTGAACTCGGTTGTGTGCAAACGCTGTACAATCTGTGGTATTGAAAAGAGGGAAAGAGAGCCAAGCAGAGGGATAGAGAGAGAGACAAAGAGAGATTTGAATTAAAATTATAGTTAAGAAGCACACAAATTAGGCCCCATGTCACCATTTTTATGACGTGATCATTAGAAGATCAATACATCTAATCAATCAAATCATTGGCTCCTTGAATTGTAATTTACTGGTCCGGGATTGTGATTGGCCTGCTGGCCTGTCACTCACATGAGGCTGCACATCCAGTAGGCACACCTTGCCCTCCCCTATGACCTTGTGCACCGACTCCAGACTGGTCCCGTAGTAGTTCCCTCTGTGCTCCCCATACTCTAAAAACCTGAGACACAAAACCATACAGAAACACTATTTAAAATTGAGCCAATCAAATATCAACTTAATGGAATACTTTGATATATGCTAAACGGAGGAGACTTACATGGGGAATTGATCCAAAATGCTAATGTTGCTAATTGTTTGAAGTGGCTAGTTTGACAGAACCAAAGTGTGGATTGCAGTCATTCCTTGTCCATAGACAGCTTTCAAGATAAACAAAATATGTAAAATAGCTGAACTTTCCCTTGAACTATTGGAATTTTCCTTAATAACATGTCATTCCTGATTAAGAAAAAATCCAAAAGTTATCTCGTTCCCTGTCGCTTGCTATCAGTTTTGGTTGTAATGAACTATCAACCCTTATACTTGCCTGCTACAGTGGTAATTACATTGATGTCTTCGCACTAAAAGACACACAAAAGGAGGATGGGAAAACAGGAATCCATCCCAGGACATTACTGGAATGCCACATCTTACCTCCTTTCTTAATCTCCTGTCCTGGTTCAGCATTAGCGATAGTAAATGCCATGAAAACAATGGAATATCAGGCTCACTACTTCTCTCTGAGTAATGGCCTAAACTCGCCAAAGGCGAGAGTGCGAGGCATTTGTGTGATTTATTTTAGAATGCGGGTTGTCCCTCAATTAGAACGTGTCTCTATTTTTGCTTTTTATCGCTGGCGCTGTAGTCTCACAAAACAATACAAATGTTGTCATTATTCACTTTTGTTTTTGCTGATTTGAATTGGAAAAGGTAGCTAAGGGTTGAGGCTTTACCATACATGCTAAATTAGACCAATTCATCCACTTGAGGAAACACAACATCGCTATCAGCAAAGATGATTGGAGATATTGACTATCCTGGAGGCATACAGTCACTGCTCTGTCTGTTCCCTCCTTTCCACCTGCCTCGCTCTGCTTGCTCCGCCCGCCCGCTTCTTGTGAGTTTTTCGCTTAAGATATAGCATTTTGCAGAGCCCTGGCTGTTCCAAACATCTTGGAATGGTAGCGTTTCAGCTAATCTCCCATGTTGCATATTAAATGGGAACCACCTGCTTGTTTTATTGTTCAATGACTAGATGCCTGAATGTGTCTTATCCAAGGCTCTTGTTAAATGGAATGCCAACAAAGGAAGTGCTCGTGTGGTAGCACTGCACTCAACATGCAAATATGCATTGTTGGTTAACACCTTACTCAAAAGGGTATAACTTACTAATAAAGTACTAATGTAGTAACAATAGATACTGCTAATTTCTTTAACCATATGATGATCACTGCCTATTGAACAGCATAATCAGTAAAGGTCTTTGGCTACTTTCTCTCCCATCAAGAAATACATACTTGTGGTTGACGATGTCCATTTCAAACGTCTGCCTTGAGACAAAGTGGTACTCTACCCCATCTTTCTCCTGCTTCCTCTTCTCTCTCGTGGTGTCTAAAAGGGAGAACGTTGTAAATTACATTGTGGAGTAATGTTGTGAAAAAAGCATCACTGTGGGGAAGAAATAGAGCTGAATTTAAAATACCCTAATCACAGTTCTAGAATCAGCTCGCAATACCCCAATTCAAACCGTGACCATTAGGAGAGCAAAAACAACCCTGACCCTAGATCCTGGCCTTAGGAGCAGTATAGTGAAACATGGTTTAGGATCCAGAGTTTAAACATATCAAAAGGTCAATTCTGGGACCTAACGTGGTTTAATAAATGTCCGCGCCTGCAGTGGAACGTGGCAGAGCTACAGGGGTGTTAGTCAGACCAGGAGACATCCCGAAAATCGGTATTTTCACGAAAACGTCTGTAGCGTCCGAACTGTTTGGGCTAAAAACGAATATGACCCTCTATGGGACTCTCATGAGACTCTCACGAACATGATGGTATTCTCTGTTTTGCTCTACGACCCCCACAAGCATGACGGGACTCGTCTGAAGTCGGTACGGCCGGTCTACCAACTTCTGTCTGTAGTGTCCGAAACGTTTGGGCTACACACTAACATGACCCCACCAGCAAAACGTGAGACTCTCACGAACACGTACATGTCGGCTGTTTTGCTCTAGGACGCCCACATGACTCACAAGACTCATCTGAAGGTAGCCTGGTACCAGTTTTAAAAATGAATGGAGGTACAGTATACAGTATATGGAAGTAGTTTAGTGCCAAAAAAAGGGGTTCAATATTATTATAATTTCCTGATCTTTCTTATATCGCTCAGATATACAGTAGGACAGACACTTCAAAACAAACTTCCTTTAGACTATCTGTTTTGCCATGTATGAATGCTATTCAATGTGTTTCTATGGGCTAAAAGCAGTAAGGCCAAGTTCAATGTTTAATTAAAAAATTACAAATAAATATTTCTGTATGCCTACAGAGGTCCTACAATTCTAAATGAAATAGCAAAATGATGCATGGTATGATAATCTTAAAACAATTCCGTATGTTACCAAAAGGATGAGACTTTTAGGGGTTTTATCTCACGTGGAACAGTGACACCAAAGTGGTCAGGGTCCGAGAGCAGGAGTCTCCTCTTCAGCTTACTCAGTCCAACTCCATTGGGCCCTAAAGGGTTAACCACAACACATTATAGGTCAGCACCTCCATTGGGCCCTAAAGGGTTAACCACAACACATTATAGGTCAGCACCTCCATTGCGCCCTAAAGGGTTAACCACAACACATTATAGGTCAGCACCTCCATTGGGCCCTAAAGGGTTAACCACAACACATTATAGGCCAGCAACTTCATTGGGCCATAATAAAGTGTTAATTACCACAACACATTATAGGTCCATAATAAATTAGTTATATCAACAGCACTTTATAACAACAGTCAGCATATAGTGTACAAAAACACTCTCAAATCTCTACCTTTCATATTGTCAACCTGCACATTTACTCCATAATACCACCCTCTTAAATTACAAAGTGATCTTTATTCACATAAAAACATCAGAATGAACAATCCTCGAAATGAAATAAGGCCTTTATCCTAGTGATCCAGCTGTGTTTCCCATCATTGACAGGATTGCGTGTCTGTGTGTGTCTGCGTGTGTGTGCGTGCGTGTCTGTGTGTGTGTGTGTGTGTGTCTGCGTGTCTATGTGCGTGAAAGAGAGAGGTTGATGCTATTTTGATTATAGACTGTGGCTTTACTGCTCCAGAGACCTTGCTTCTCTATCCAGGTGGTTCAGTATCTGCTCCATCTGTCCACAGACGCTCTGGAAAAGCAATATCGCCCCATCTAGATGAACTGAGAGCCATCTGCGATTCCTTCAATGACTCCACACAATATCAATGTCATGGCACGTCTTCGGACAGGATTGCATACACGCACACGCAGCATCTGGGAACATCTTTAGGGATCCGGGTTGCGTTCTGGAACATTCAATAGAGTGCAACGTACTGAGCATTGCAGATAGAAATGCCATGAATTTACAGTCAGCTGCCATGGTTCCATACCTCTACATGTCGGAGAGGCATGACTGTTTTGTGTAACGCAGGGTTCTTCAATTCCGGTCATGGAGGGCCGAAACACCTCTGTTTTTCATCCTCTCCTTCTAATCAGGGGCTAATTCAGACCTGGGACACCAGGTGAGTGCAATTAACTACCAGGTAGAAATAAAAAACAGGTCCCTCCAGGACCGGAATTGAAGAACCCTGGTGTAACGTATTTCTGTCTGATCGTTCCACAACGCTGTGCCCTACTGAACATTGCAGATAGAAATGCCATGAATAAAGCTGTGTCACGATCGTTGAGAGACGGGTCAGACCAAGGTGCAGCGTGGTATGCGTACATGTTTATTAAGACGAATAAACACTTGACACAAAATAACAAAACAACGAAACGTGACGCTCAAACAGTGGCTACACACAACAAGCCAAACACGAGTCAAGATCCCACAACAGGTAGGCAACCAGGCTACCTACGTATGAACCCCAATCAGAGACAACGAGCGACAGCTGCCTCTGATTGGGAATCACACCCGGCCAAACATAGAAATATCAAACTAGATCTACAACATAGAAATACAATAACATAGATCTCAACAGAAACTCACACCCTGACCCAACCAACAAGAGTTCTCTAGATCAGGGCGTGACAAGCTGCCATGTTTTTGCATGTTCACATCACGGGCCATAGACCGGTGCATTGTGGTTCAGCTTAATCGAATGCTGCCATTGACATTGGATGCTAGAAAGAGCGAGATTGAGAAAGAGTGTGTGTGTGTGTGTGTGTGTGTGTGTGTGTGTGTGTGTGTGTGTGTGTGTGTGTGTGTGTGTGTGTGCGCGCGCGTGCGTGTGCGTACACGTCTGCGTGTGTGTATCTGCTCATAAATATCTAAATGAAACAGAAACGTCCACCTAATTATCAAACCTGATCCATCAATACACATTTGTCACTTGTGGAGGAGTGCCCAGGCAAGGTCTTCCCACTCATAAGAGATATATACATATATCTCCCTCCCCACTGATGACTTCTGGCAATGGTGGATGGAGTTGGTCCAACTCAATTACAGGGTGAAGTCTGGATTCAAACTTTGTTATTTTCTTTACATCCCTTATGTCTGGATGATGAGCTTCCCTGTCATTATCTGTGATCCTATTCACAGTCCAGCCCAGACCTGGGTTCAAATAGGATTTGTTTTCTCACAGAAACTGCGCTCGATTGAGCTTGTCTGGCACAAAGGAACCAATGGAATAGTCCCAAAAGTGGCGCTACAGACAGGCTCAAAGTAAATGATTCTGTGTGTGACGCAAAATAATAATCTCTCTTCAGTAACGACCAGAGGTTGCCAACAGATATGACATTACAAAAAAGCTCTCAGCAAATGCCTGAACCCCATAGGGAGAGACATCGTAAAAGATACAGACACCAGACTAGATTCCCTGGCCGTAGGAAAGCCCTGAAGGTGGGTTCCAAATATAATCTGTCTGAGAATATTTACATTAGTATGAAAGGAGTGCTTTCCGACAAAGACCACGCATTTGGTTGCCTAGATTTTATTGATTGAGCCGTTAATTAAATAGACATTAAATAAACATTAAATAAACTTTATCTGATCAGAGCCAGAATTAAATATGTGAGTGTAATTTAAGAATGATGACAGCCATGGATCAGACAGGAAACAGTTATCCACACCAAGAGTATGGCAAGGCCAATGCTAGATTTAACACCAAGGATGACCGTAGAAGAATTCTAAATAAGTGAAAACATTAAGTAACGTTCCTCAACATTTCCTTATAGTTTACATGTACTTGGTCTGGATTCCTTAGCTACACCAACAAACTTAGCAAACCTAGCACTCTCCAAATTTGGAGAGTTTCCCTATTGTTTATTGTCTTACACAGATCCCGCAACCCATTCTATAGACCAGGGTTTTCAAACATACGGCCCGCGGGTCCTATCTGACCAGCGGGGCGTTTTAATAAATAAAATATATATATTTTTTAAATAGATATACTGTAACAGTCAAAAGTTTGGACACACCTACTCATTCAAGGTTTTTTTTATTTATGTTTACTATTTTCTACATTATAGAATAATAGTGAAGAAATCAAAACTATGAAATAACACATATGGAATCATGTAGTAACCAAAAAAGTGTTAAACAAATCAAAATATATTTTATATTTGAGATTGTTAAAAGTAGCCACCCTTTGCCTTGATGACAGCTTTGCATTCTCTCATCCAGCTTCCCCTGGAATGCTTTTCCAACACTCTTGAAGGAGTTCCCACATATGATGAGCACTTGCTGGCTGCTTTTCCTTCACTCTGCGGTCCAACTCATCCCAAACCATCTCAATTGGGTTGAGGACAGGTGATTGTGGAGGCCAGGTCATCTGATGCAGCACTCCATCACTCTCCTTCTTGGTAAAATAGCCATTTCACAGCCTGGAGGTGTGTTGGGTCATTGTCCTGTTGAAAAACAAATGATAGTCTCACTAAGCCCAAACCAGATGGGATGGCGTATCGCTGCAGAACGCTGTGGTAGCCATGCTGGTTAAGTGTGCCTTGAATTCTAAGTAAATCACAGACAGTGTCACAAGCAAAGCACCCCCAACCATAACACCTCCTCCTCCATGCTTCACGGTGGGAACTACACATGCGGAGATCATCCATTCACCCACACTGCGTCTCACAAAGACACCAAAAATAAAAATCTCAAATTTGGACTCCAGACCAAAGGACACATTTCCACTGGTCCAATTATCCATTGCTCGTGTTTCTTGGCCCAAACAGGTCTCCTCTTCTTATTGGTGTCCTTTAGTAGTGGTTTATTTGCAGCAATTCGACCATGAAGGCCTGATTCACACAGTCTCCTCTGAACAGTTGATGTTGAGATGTGTCTGTGACTTGAACTCTGTGAAGCATTTATTTGGGCTGCAATTTCTGAGGCTGGTAACTCTAATGAACTTATCCTCTGCAGCAGAGGTAACTC